ATAAACGTGACTCAATATAACATTGCGACTACAGTAAAAAAGCTTTTACTGTTCTAAAAACACAGGTTTATGAGCAGTATTGGATTTGAAGATGTTAGAAACACACGTCATTGTTGTCATATGGTGAATTTAGCCAATTATGAAACAGCTGTGTTGTCAGCTGACCCAGCTGCTCTCGAAACGCTATTGCGGTACTTTGATGCCACACGTGACAGTGACGTGGCGTCAGCGCCGGTTCAAGTCGGACTAAATTTCTAACCGCCATGCACTGCTTCAAGTCAGCCGCCGATCGGTTTGCGCGGCGCCGCATGAAGTCGAACGCACCTACAGTCTAGCTGTTGCCAACCACCTGCCCCGGTCTGCCCCTACCTTTCGAACAATTCGATTCAATGAACTGGTTTAAAACGCCGTTTCAACTGTTTTTACGTCATCCCGTTTTTTCCCAGGCGTGCTATGATCGTTTTAGTAAGCCACATGTGGGCACATGTCTGTGTATAATTTCATGTGTCCCCATGTTCATTTTGGTATAGCCATCACAACTTATACAAACGTCGTTTAGAACCTAATTTTTTACATTTATGTCCCAAAGTCCCTTTCCTGTTTCTGGCAATTCTAAATTTCATTTTTCGTTAAAGCCACATCTATTTTGTAAGTGTGTTGATGGAACTGTTATACAGTCTACACCAGGGGTAGGCAACGTCGGTCCTGGAGTGCCGATGTCCTGCAGAGTTTAGCTCCAACCCTAATCAAACACACCTGAACAAGCTAATTAAGGTCTTCAGGATTACTAAATCTACGAGATTGAGGTCTCTGCAGAGCAAAAGTGTGCGTTTCTGAATTTATCGGTGTTTTCAAACTGTAGGGTGTTTCTCAATCATGCAATCAAAATGATTCCCCTTACCTAACCATCTTCTGGCGAGATGCGGGAATTCATTCGGCGCGTGACTCTCACGGTGCATTATGGGCATTCTCTAGCCGTTGAGCGTGCACCAGTTGTACACTCGTTTTTGCAGTGCATTGTGGGATTGAATGAGTGCACTCGAGAACGTCCACTATGGTTTCGGACACCACTAAAAATGTCTGTTCCCTCAAATAGTGCCCTATTTAAGGGTATAGGGGGCGATTTCGGGCACAGCCCTATACTTGGAGGCTACAGGCAGGTGAGGGTTTTTTTCAGGGTTGGAGCTTAAACTCTGCAGGACATCGGCACTCCAGGACCGACGTTGCCTACCCCTGGTCTACACAGTCAAATTATTTGTTGACATTTCTGATTCACGTACTTTTCAACAGTGTTGGGCTAGTTACTCAAAAAATGCAATATATTAGGCTACTCATTACTAGTTAGTCCTTTCAAAAGTAATATTACATATTACTTTCTGGCAACAGTAATTAGTTACACTACTAGTTACATTACTTTTCTTTCACGCCCACATAAGTTGCATATCTTCCCCATAAAATTATTCTAAAATGTTAGGCTACTAACAATATATTTCTGCCTCATCATTTGACCAAAATCCACATTGAATCGCAGTCAGAAGTTATTACAAACACTCAGTGGTGATTAATAGTAACTTTTAAATAAAAGTGTTGTATTAATCTCATTAATTGTCATGTGTAGCTTGAAGCTAATTGTAGCTATAATTTCTCTGTTATGCCCAAATACGATTAGCCTATATTCCATTATGTATTTTATCAAAAGAAATCATATAAGTTCATAAGAAAATATTTTATTCTCTAAAAAGATTTTATACAATTTATATCGGGATCAGAGCAAGCCATGTATAAAGACGTTCAGATCATCTTTTCTCCTGACAAAATCAATGTAATGGCAATATTTCCATCCGCTGAATATAAGCTTTTTATATTCCATATGCCTGCTGCACTGCAGACTTCTTGTGCCTGTGCAAGTTGTGAAAATTATGAAAATAAATCTAGCAATTATTGGATTGTTAGACTTCAAATCAGTAAGGGTTGAGGCATCGAAAGTAACTAAGTAACGAGCAGTTTTATGGATGGTATAACTGTAATATTGTTACTGAACTCTTATTAGTAATTAGTTACATTACAAGTTACTGCAAAAAGTAATATTATTACTGTAACTAGTAACTAGTTACTGCCCAACAACACTGCTTTTCAATTTGATTCATAAAATAAATTTGTTTACAAATCAAAAGAAATAATTTATAAAGTGCAACAAGACTTAGCATCTCATCTCAAATGCATATAACAAATGCAGTATCAAAATATAGCTAGATCTTAAGTATCTTTTAAAATACATACTTTTCTTCTTTTTACACAAATATCTGACACCAACATTTTTTATTAAAAGATCATCCTTTTGAATATTCAATTTTTTACCTGTAACTGTAAAATTATTTGTTTATTACAAGCAAACTTTTGCTTTTAAACAATGGATTGCATGAGTTGTCAATTGGCTCTGAAAAATAAACCCCTTTAGGATTTTTTTAAATGAATCTGATCCAAATAGTCTATTTTCTTTGTAACCTTAACACCTTTTACAAGTTATGATATTAAATGTACCAAATCTTCTGATGTATGTATGCATGCATAAACTGTTTTTTGTTGTTGTGTTTGTTTGTTTGTAAATGTGTATTTGTTGTTTTATTTTGTCCAGTTGTTTTTCTTTATTGTTCTTTAGTGTTGGTATTTTTTAAATTAGTAAAGATAATGTTGAAAAGGGATGGGTCATGCCTGAAAGAGACTTTTCAGTGCTCCACTTTCAAAACGTCATGATTCACAACAACAGACTTTTGGCACAATAGCCTACTCAGTAGCCTATATTTTCACAACTAAAAAAGTTAGTTGTGAGTATCTGCATAAAACAGACAATTGATGGAAAAAAATATATACTTACACATTTCAGAAAAGTTTTCAATGCAAAACAAATAATGAGAGATATTTTGCAACACATTTATTAGATATAGCTTACACATGTTATTGGTTTTTATAACTACATGTGCGACTTCCAAAAATTTTTTTTTCATTGTTCCATATACCTGCACATGTTATTGGTTTTTAGAAGTTGTTAGAAGAAAAGTTAAAGCAGAAAAGTGTAAATTTGTGAGAGGCGATGGTGCGGTGGGATGCTGTTGCTGCTCCACGGAAACACAAGCGCGCTGAGCCGCAAGTGCACATTTAAAGGGGTACAACAACAACGCTGTCTTTGTATACATCTGAGTTTGTCGAGGCGTTTATAGCGCTTGATCAACGTCCAGCCACCTTTTCTTTGTGCGACGGTATTATATGGACAGTTCAGGGGGTAGAACGAAGGAGCGAGCGTCAAATTAGCGCCGATAATTCAAACATTTTGGGTCTATTTCTTTCTGAGGCGGCTCGGTTGTCCTGTCGTCTCTGTTGATCTGGAAACGGCCGCCATCTTGAATTGTAATGTAATATTTTCGGACAATTTTCGGCAATATGACATTTTTGGATTGCATTGGACATTGGTGATGGACAAACCTCAAAGCAGAAGAGAATAAAGTGAGTATTTAGAGTACTGCGTGAATATGCTAACCGTGATCCCTCCTGCTCAGGGCTTTTCCGGGTGTCGCCTAGCAATCTCGCAGTTAGCTGCACGTTAGGCCCAGTGTGATACTCGTTTTATTATCGTTTAATGTCAGTATCTTTAAAAAATATTCCCAGAAATAAAATTTACAGGGTCTAAT